CTGTGAATAGAGCGGCAGGTCCAACTGAAGTCACGTGTCTGGAACGTGCTGCGACAGAGTGCTCATGAAGGGTTACAGTGAGACGAGGGGCTGTTGACAGTCTTAAATATCATTGAAAACTCAAAGAGCTTCGCTTTGGGGCACTTATTTCCACTCTCTAGTTTCTAGATGTTAGAAATTAAATCAGAAAATTTAAAAATGCAATTTATTAACTTATGTAAAATAGCTATAATAAAGCTATTATTTGTAGCAATAAATAAATAGTGCCTTGGCCCAGCCACGGTGGTGCTCAAAATGCAACACCTCTTGGGAGGCTGGAAGCCATTTGGGAGGCCCAAGTTTGGTCTCAGGACTGATTTGAACATGCTGTGCACAGTTGCATGTGCCAGGAACTCTAGCTATTTGGGAGAGCCTGGAAGAGCCTCTGTCTCTCACTCTCTCTCCTTTTTTTAGCAATTATTTAATTTTATTTATTTATTTATTTATTTGTTTGTTTATTTATTTATTTTAACTTGATCAGAGAGGGCCAGAGTGAGAGAAAGAGAGAAGAAGTGAGAAAGCAAGTCTCCAGGTCTGGGATGTGAACCACCGCGAGGTCTGGGAGTTGAACCACAGTCAGCCATGTGGGAGTCTAGTGCCCTTAATCACCACACCACCTGCCGGCCCCTCTGTCTCTCTTTCTTACTCTCTCCTTTCTTATTCTTTTCCATCCACCTCTCCCTCATAAAGAAAAAGAAAAAAAAAGTAAAAGAATAAAATAAAATAAATAGTACATGAGTTTTTTAAAATCTACTTTTGCAAAAAACCGGGCAGTTATATATGTAACTATCTACAGATATACAAATAGATATAACTTTTTTGACAAAAGTAGATTTTACATCATATATAACATATTTTATATATGCCGTATATGTATACATATATGTATACACACATATGTATACACACACACACACACACACACACACACACATAACATTTTGCAAATCTTTCTGCCCGGCTGCATTAGAATGCTGGATTCCTGCGTCTACTGTACTGAGTTGTGCATGTCACACATGACATCGTAACAAACCCACCCTCTGTTGAAAACTACATTCCACATTTATCAGAGAATGAGAGAGACATCTTAAAATCATGAACAGATTTTGATTTGTCGGAGCCCCTGAAAGGATCCAGCGTGGAAATGCCCTACTAGAAAGTCAGGTTGATCTCTTAGTAGGCAAATGGGTTCTGGGAATCAGGGCTGAAAGGTGGCATCATAGTAAACTGGAATGTAGCAGTGTGTGTCACCCTGTGGGTTTAAGGGAAGAAGAGGACAGTGACCCGATTCTGTTATAAGCCATTTCACCATTTGCTTTTGCCAGCAGGATCTCGAGGTTTCTGTCTCTTTGGCATATTTCCTCATACCTCTAAGAAAAGACAGGGTATAAAAATCAAGTTGTTAGAATGAATCTACACAAATGTATTATTGTTATTTTTATGCACCAAACTAAGAAATGCCCACATGAAAATTTGTACATGTCCTAATTGCCAACATCACATCAGGTAATTAACTCTGTACTTCAGCTTTATTTCTTAATAAGTTTATATATGCATAACATTATAGCAGCAGATTTAAGAAACATGAATCATATGTTCAATCATAAATTCTGCTATGAAAATTTAATAAGGATTTTGAGAGCAAAGTGTGTCTTGCCCAAAAAATGACAAATGTGACCTTTTATGGGTGAGGAGGGAAGAGACCTCTAAAGAGATAAAATTTATTTCATAAGCACAACCATCAATGCTTGGGGGTTTATTTTATAATTATTATTAACTAACATAGTTACATGTGGTGTTTTGTTGGCATTACTATTACATAAACACAAACAAATTATCTTCCTACTGAAAGCAGTCAAGCAGAAAAAAAGTAAGCCTTACAGAACAATTCTGTAATTTCTCTTATAACTTGTAGCTTGGAAAGTAGTTTCTGATGGGTGAAAATGCTGATGTGTAATTCATATTTTTAAAAGTAAGGAAATAGAGTCATACTTGAAAGAATACTTGGAACAGAAGAAGTGGTTTTCAGAGAAAACTGCAGCTCAAGCAGTTCCCCAGTGCCACACAGCACGGGGGAACCCCTGACTGCGGTGTGTGGAGTGTGCAGAAAGAAGGTAACCCAGACATCCACAGGGGTAAGGAAAAGGGCTGCTTCAGGAATCTTTGCAAACAGGCTGGAGTGAGTAGTTGTGAAAGACAAACACATTCAAGCTCAGGACAGTAGAGCAGAATTTCCGAGGTGCGGACGGGGGAGGCAGTCAGGTTTAATCAAATCTGTTAAGAACTTTGAACCACATGTCAAACTTAGTTTGGAATGGCCAACCGAAAATCAGTCACCTCATTAGTCAGTTGTATTCATTGGTTTCAGCAACAATATTCAGGACTCAATAATGTTTTTATTTAATCTTATTTATCATTATTATTTTTTTAAATGTGCTATAAGAAACATACGCTCACCAGAGTGAGAGAGAGAGGGAGGGAGGGAGAAAGCAGGCCTATAGGTCTGGGATGTGAATCACTCGTGGTCAGGCTTGTGGGAGGCCAGCATCTTAACCACTATGCCACCTGCTAGCCCAGGACCCAATATGTTACATTGATAGTTATTGATATGCATCTTACATCAATCTTATGCAGGTGTCTACATGGAGGCTTAGCTGATACAAATATTTATTTTTACATAAACACTGATGCATTTTTTTGAAACTTTCTAAACCTTTGGGCCTGGAATTTATATTCCTTTATGCAGAAGTATAATTATAAATAACAGCTGACAACTACTAAATTTTATTTTATGAAAGAATGTGACTTGAATTTAGTTGTTGCTAAATTCAATTCATTTTTGCTACTGTTCTGGAATATGCGTCTTAATGCAGGGTTCTCTAGAATTAGAATGCATTATTAACTGATAAAGATTGCAGCTATTAACTATGAGGACTGTAGCTTATTTGTAAAATAATAATACATGTAAAACCACCTGGAGTCATTTAAACTGTATTTATTGTTAGACAAAAATAATTTTGTGTGTTAAAAGAAAAAAATGTATGCACCCTGTGTATGAACACCAATAACATCGCAATTAAGTTTGAATATGTTTTCTCTAAATCATAAGAATAGAGGCATACGTGACTAGCTGAGCCTAACTGGTGACTTTTTTTAATTCACAAGGAACATATTTGTAAGATACAAATGATTATTGAATGAGTTCAACAAATACGTAGTTTTACAAACCAGTAAACTTTCATCGGGATCTTCAATGGGTGGAAAGCTCCACTGGGAGCAGAAATTGCTTGGGGAACTTCTTGTATTGAAATAAATAATTTTTCTCTTTATAGATGTTTGTAGAATGTGAACATTTTACATAAAAATGGTTTCACATTCCAAACTACCAGGATTTTAATAGTACTGCTTAACTTTCCGATGGTTGCTGTCCCTAAATTAGGTTCGATATAATTAGACTGAATAACCATGATCCTGCAAATCAGTACAGCCAAAGGAACCATGACGGTAGAGACAGAGCGAGGACTTCCCGGGCTGTGGCTGGGCACATCGGGACAGGCGGGTGTGCCTTGCTGTGTGGACGCTCCAGGGTCAGGCCTCGGCTAACCCCAACCTTCCAGACCTCAATGCTGTAACCTCCTGGACTCAGTGTGGATTTATAGAGTCAGGGAGGAGGTGAATTTCTGAAATGCCTCACACTCTGTACTGTGAAAACAAGTGAAAGGACAATTCATTTTGCATTTTCCTTTATTTTCTATTGATATACAAAACTTGTGCATATTTATATGGTACAACGAAGGTTGATCTCGCAAAGGGATAGTGCCAACCAAAGGCTTGCACAAGTATAATTTAAGACGTTGCACTAAGGGCTTAGGATCTTTGGGCCAGCAGGTAGTGTAGTGGGGAAGGTATTGCATTCTCACACGGCTGACCACGGTCCAAGTTCCAGACCTGGTGACATGAAGAACCATGCCAGATGTATGTGCACGCATGCGCAAATCCCAAGAGGAGGACTGAGAACAAAGGACAGTGAGGCCTTCACCCCCGGGGCGGGGCTGATTTCTCACTTTACCTCTCTCGTTCTCTCTCTGGCTAGTGCATGCATCCTATGTCAAAAAACATAATTAAAGCAAAATAATAGTAATTCCTTTTAAGATACAGAAATCATTCCTCCCGGTCATTGCCAATATACAAACTAACATGTTTGACCTCTGTGTTGGATTATTTAGACAAAAAATCGTTTAGGAAAGTATACATTCTCCCAAATCTAGGGTGTTTAGTTCCTAAAAATCTCGACTAATGAACTGAATTTCTTCAAAGAATTCATTTTAATTTTCTTGGGCTGGACCATAGCACAGTAATTAGGCACTGCACTGATCAGACTGGATTCCACATGGCTCACCAGGGTTCAAATCCCAGCTCAGTTGGCTTGCAGTGCGCATCACGCTACTGGTCCGCAGAATCCTGACGGGGTGGACCGACAGAGGAAGAGGGGCTGTGGCATGCCCGCCTTTGTTGGTGGGGGTGCTCTCTCTCATGCTCATTTTCTTTCTTTCGTGTCGCACATGAGCCCTCTGACATAAAAAATAGATAATACTCATTTTCCCTGGTGAACTCATCTAGTAAAATGAATTTGATTCTTCAAAAGGCCTGTTCCTTAATCACCTACTTTGCATGAGGAAAGTATCCACCGTAATGCATGTATGAAAACGTGTAATTCGCACATACATGTACTTCATACTGTGTGCAACATCTACTGAATTACGGTAAGGAAGTCACTGAGTGGCAGACGAGGAATAGAGTAGAACGTCTGCGTGAGACCGAAGGTGCCTATGTTTGCTTTATTAATCACAGGACGTCGTAAATGGATCTCCTGCGAGGGGTAGGAGGAGGGCGCTGAGTCTGGGATGTACAAGTTTCAGATCGTTTCGTTTTGAACTTTCAAATGTGTTTTTATTCCTAAGGTCTGGGAATTGGGAACATGTTCTACGTGTTTTATGAAGATGGAATCAAAGTGGTACAGCCCATAGAATGTGAATTTCAGAGGCACATTAAGCCCAGTGAAAAGCTCCTCGGGTTTCAGGCAAGTATCTGAAATTCCTTTTTATTCTATGATTTTGCTAAGTGAATTTGATTTTGGAAATAGACACAGACAAGACTTATGTCCGAAAGGAAGTACTTGGGGCCCACAGGCGGTGCGGTGCTTAAGGTGCTGGGCTCCCACATGGCTGACCACAGTTTGAATCCCAGGACTGGTGGCTGGCATTCTCACTTTTCTCTCTCTCTCTCTCTCTCCCTCTCTCTCCCTCTCTCTGGTCAAATTTAAATAAATAAATAGTAAAATAAAAATAATTCTAAAAAAGCAAAAAAAAGAAAGGAAGGAAGTACTCAACTAGTGATATTAGCTGCTACTCTGCAGGTTTGTACCTGAGGCGGAAAATAAAATAATGTATTTTGCATTCCCAAGTCCTTGCTCGGAATTACAGGGAAGGCCACAGAAGCGCAGACCAAGAGCAGAAGCAGCCTGCAGTGGCTTCCCTGCTGTGGGTGCAGAGCGCCACGCCTCTCTGCAGGCAGCCGGGGCTGCAGCCCACTGAGAAGCTTGCCTGTAATAACCGTCACTGCTCTGCACACGCTGCCGCTGCTCGCCTCTTCTTTCATGAGGTCTCAGTGGAATGAGCAATTGAAATTTATATGGAAAACATCAGTTTCTTTATTTCTTTACTTACCTATCTCACCTTTCCCAGGAAGTATTTACCCGACGAAACGGGTATTAATCATACACATTAGGGGCCATGTCTTGTTTTTGCTATATGATAGGATATTCCAATTCTTTTCATACACTCACAGCACGAGGTATGTTAAGGTGAACGTGCACAGAAAAACATGTCACGTCAAAAGTATTTGTGTTGTCCGCATGTTCTCACCGTAAAAACCTAACTTCCGACAAACCAAACTTTAACAAAGTTTCATTTAAAAAGGGAATCCAACAAGAGGCGTTTGATGGGACAGGCCCTGGGGTGGCTTCCAAGGAACCGTTCGTGGCCTTGCGTCTGAGCGGTACTCAGGTTCTGGACAGGGACGTGCCATGTGCTGGGAGGGACCGTGACGTTCAGACGCAGAAGTGAGGCAGTGAGGCAGAGGCGTACATGGGCCAGTCACAGCTGGAGGAGGTCTGCGTGGGCAGCCCAAGGGCCGGGCCTTCGTGACCGACTGAAGCTAGCAAAGGGAACGGACAAAGGATGATTTTGGTTTGTCCACAGGAGGGCAAGGGTGAGAGTACAGTGGCCATTTCTGGGCAAATAGTTCAGCCTAACAGCCGTAAGTTCAGACAAGCAGCGACACCCCAGAGGAGATAAGGAGCAGATAGCAGATGCCATTGCCTCCGTGCCTTACCTTCCGCTGCACAGCCAGCCTGCCGCGGTGTGGGGGACGGTAAATCCATCACACCGAGAACTCTGCTCTCGAGTGAGAAAGAAAAGCAATTATGAAGATAGCTCAGCTTTCCCCTACATGTCCGGCAGACAGCGCAGTCTAATGCCTTATTTATTTATTCGTTTTTAAAGAATTGTTTTATTTAACTTTATTTATTATTATTATTTTATTTTGACCAGAGAAAGAGAGAAAGAGAGAGAGAGAAAGCAGGCCACCAGGTCCGAGACTTGAACCGTGGTCAGTGGTGGGTGGTCTGTTTTAGGCAGTCAAGCCCTGTCAGGGGCGGTCCCTTCAGCCCAGCCCAGCACCTTCACTGCCACAGGAAGGCTGGAGTTGGACCAGCCAGCCACGCTGACACGGAAGGTCAGTCACCGGCTCTCCCTGTCTCTCAGAGTCAAGAACCAGGTTTAATTCATGTTCGATTCCAGGCTCCGGACAGTGCCTGACACATCGTTACACAAACTTCAAGAACGTTCCGTAGCTTAGAGCACTGGCTATTTATTCTCTTATGCCTTGTCTCGTTTTAAAGATAGATCCTTTTAACTCCTTCCCCACCCAGATATTTCTCCTTGCTTCACAGTTCCCGTAAAGCAGTGTTCTTCTTTCCATGCGTTTGTGAAAAATGTTTTGTAGAATCACTTACCATTGACTTGTCCCAGGGTGATCTCAGCCTCGTGGGCCTGCTCATTTTAATCCATGGTCCGAAGGTCCTGTGTGGATGTGCTGTGTAATCTGAGTTTCCGTACAGAGGAAAGCTTGTGTGTCTGTCTTAAAAGATAAACTGCTTGAGTACGAGCGATAGAAATGAGGATTTTGTAATCATTTCTTTTTTATGAATGAGGTTTAAAATGGATATATTTTTCAGGTTCACTGCTGACAGTAGAGCATAGTAATTTCCAATATAATTCATTGATCAGCACCATTTAGTTAAAAGCGGGTATGTGAGAGTGTAGCGTCTTCTGCTGGTCCCAGAGTCTCCAACACTCTCAGAAGGTACGGTTTGCTTGCTCTAAATAAAAAGTCAATTTTGGTGCAGTGTCAGATTCCATTAGGCTTCCGTGTGTGATAGCGAGTTGGTGAGGATTCATACCACACGCTCTCAGTTACTCTTCAGTCTCTTTTTTTCTTCGAGTTGCATAGCCTCACTAGATGGGATCCTTGCTGTGGTTATCCCAGCTGTGCACGTGATTTCGTCTTGTCGCCTAGAAGATGAACTTCAGGCAAACAGAATTCTGCTTCTGACTTAAGGATTTAGAACTCAAACTGCAAGGATTTTGAAAACTGTTTAAGATTGCACGCTCAGAGATGGCACGCTTTCCCAGGATTACTCATCTTTTACCTCCCGGGTTTACAACTGCTGCGTCATTCTTATCACTGGGTTTCTTAGTTTTTTTAATTGAGTCAGCGTCTGCATTTGCTGGTTAGAGTTAGACACTGTTCTTCATAAACACCATGGTATTACGTACGTCCATGGATTATGAAAGGACTTTCAGGAAACCCCCTGTGGGCCCAGCTGGTGGCACAGCTGGTCACCACCTAGACTACAATGCTGGAAGCCACACTGCTCATGGGTTCAGATCCCCAGGTCAGTCTAAAAACTTACTGGATGCATCAGTGCATGCCCAGGGTCCTGGCTGGCTGGGGTCTGGAGACAGGGCATCATGGTGTGGCAGGACCTGTCAGAGCTGCGTTTTTTCCTCTCTCTTGTGGGTACCCACACACTCTATCATGAACAACATAAATAATTTTAAAAAAGAAAAGTAGGTCTTACCTTGTGTGAGGTGAACGCCTAGCTCTGGTTTTCATGAAAACTTCTGTGACACTGAGCTTCAGAACTGAACCCACTGTGCCTTCCAAAGGAGGCCTGGAAGGACTGCCCCCGGAGCTGCCTGTTCACCTTCGTAAACAGTGCCAGCGTTCACTAGAGGGGAATGTGTGCCTAGGAGCAGCTTACCCACAGTGTCCAGAGTATTTACTACCAAGAAATCAGAACCTGGATTAGAAATGAGGATGGCAGCATGGCCAAGACCCTGGGGAGTGATTTCTCATTCTGTCTCTGTCTCTCTGGCAAGCACATGCCCCCTATAGCAAAAATCTCTCTCTAAAAAAAAAAAAAGGAAAGAAAAACGAGACTGACTGGGGCCGGATGGGACACAGAAGTGAGACACAGTATTCTGCCGGGCAGTCCACATGGGCGGGTTCCTGGTTCAAGGCAGCGGATGTCACACACCAGCCAGGCACATACTTGCCCATGACCCATGATCTAGGGGCTGAAGGCTGGGGACCCTGTGGAGGGTGGCGTGTCTTTTCCTTGCTTTTGGAAAAAATAAATACACATTTTTAAAAAGCAGTGGGGAAGCTCTGCTGTGTCTGTCTGCTGACTGCCCCAGGGCTGGTGTCCTTGGCATTGCACCTGCTGCATTTCATTCTGGTTCTAATCCAGGTACTGCCTCTCCAGCTTGGGTCCACACAAGGTCCCGGAAACACCAGCCCCTACATGGGATGCAGAAGGCTCATCTCCCTGTGAAGCCAGCGTGAGTCTGGGATGGCCCCACCTTGTACTGCAGAAAGGCTATCTAGACGGACCTCCACTCAGGCTTTTCTCTGCGGGTCTCCTGGAATGTGGCTTGATTTACAAAGGGTTAGAGAGCTATGAAAATGTCAGCCTGTCCCTGTCTGGTCGCAGTGGAGTCCTGCCAAGAGCGTCCTGAGGAGAGGAATGTAAACTGCCTCTAACTAATCCTTAGAAGATCTCCTATAGATTTCAAAAGAAATGAATTTATAAAATTGATCTTTGAAGTCCTAAATTTCTGAAGGTCTTCTAATGTTACTTTAAAAATCACACAGTTTTACCATCCCTACGTTGTGTTTTTATTAGACTTTAATTCGCAAACCTAACACTGGTGGAAAAGAGTGGAAAGTGTGTAACTTGTCCCACGGCACTGTAATGGAGTTGGTGGCTTATTAACTGGGTCAAGGCACTTCATCTAAAGCATGTTAAGTCTTCCTCGGGGATTGTTGATAAGAACCCGCCGAGTTATTCGGATGAATTTGAGCAGAGTGAGAGGTGTATCTCAGACAATCGGGCCGAGGTTTAAATGTTTTTACGGGAGTAAGGAGGACCCACTTACATAGGTACAAGATGCATCCCACACACTTTAGAAAGAAATGTGTCTAAGTTTGTTTGGATTCTTCAGTGGAAATTGCTGAAGAGTAAAGCTGAAGAGTTTAATTGATAGAAAAAGTATCGATGCGGATGTCTTTAAACATCAGAAACTCGTGCTCGGGGCATACAAATTCACACAGACCTGACTTCTTACACCTGTCTCAACTACATTCCTCTGGCCTGACATTTACATTTATTCACGAAAAACTGCCATTTCGAAAATAACGTTTGCATGTAAGAATTAAATAAAGAGCTTATGATAACAGACTCTTTCTTCATGCCCCCTGTGCTCAGTCTCACTTCAAAGCCTCAGCCACGTGTTCTCACTGAGGTGTGCTCAGCAGCGTCAGTTCCTCAATTATAATGCAAAAATTTCCATTGGTGTTTCTTTAAGAAAGTGATGATTTTGCTTACACAATTTTTAGCTTTTCTTCTTTCTAAATATATTTACAACGATGTAATTATTACAATGCTCCTGCAAATTTGTTTTATCAGATTAATTACTAAATCTTTAGTCTTTTGAGGGAAAATCTTCAAGATTTCTATTTAGGGATCATTTTCAGAGCTATCTTCTTTTTATATCCACAGTCGTTCTCAAAATCTCACTTCTATAGTGAAGCCATTCGTGTTTTAAATTCTTTTCTGTATTTCAGGCAGGTCTCAAGTATCACTCTGAGTCACTTGGAGGTGCAGAGGAAGAGAAAAGGAATAAAAGCCAATCACCAGTTTCAACTTTGCTCAGCATTAGAATTAGTAAATATTTGAAAATAATGGCTCAGATTTAAAAAATCTTTTTTCTTTTTTTTTTTTTGAGAGATTTTTTTTTGCTATAGGGCATGTGTGCTTGCCAGAAAGACAGAGAGAGACAGAGACAGAAAGTGAGAAATCACCCCCCAGGGGGGATGGTCACTCCACAGTCTCTTCTCATCCCCTCACCTCATCAGATTTTGGGCATGCACACACACATGCCTGGCAATGAGTTTCAACCACTGGGTCTGGGACTCGAACCTCAGTTGTCCATATGGGAGTCCAGCAATATAACCAGTATGCCATCTCCTGGCCCCTAATATACTAATTTTAAATGCTATCCTATCTACATGGAAATTAAGATGCAGCTATATAAGAAGAATTTCAGGCCAGCCATTGGTGACATAGAGGTGGCATGCCACTTTGCCAGGAGGGAGCCACTTGGGAGGTGGATATTTAATTTCTCGGTTGGTTTCCACGTGCCGGCTGTGTGCACATGTGTATATCCTGGCTAGCTGCAGAGGCTGAGGGAGGATCGTGGTGTAAGTCCTTGCAGGGGGGCTTGTCTCTCTCTTTCTCTGTCTACACTATTTTAATTGCTAAATTTAAACTTAGAGCATCAGTAGTGATATATTTAGTACTCCTTTAGCAATTTGGAAGAGAATATTACATATGCAGGAAATATGTGTTTAAACATAGAGATATCCCAAAGGGATTAAGTTCTAAATATGAGCATGAACTGTGTTTTCCTTACTGACTTTATGTTTTAATATCCTATGAATTCCTTTTACTCTAAATGGCAGTATTCATTTCTATAAAAAGTGGATCAGAGTGATGCTCTTTGATATAATCCCGGACAGCTCTCCTCATCAGTATGTATTATCTTAATCTCATTTCTTGTCTTTTTATCTCATTAAAGCCTAATGCATGTGAAAACATCCCTCTACAGTTCTCATTCACATAAATAAATATTAATCTGTGTAATCTAAAAAAATAAGAGTGCTATTGTAAAATGGGACCTAATAGACTATAATCAGAAATAATGGCGTGAAACAGCACAGGGAATTCAGAGTGACTGTCAGGAAACTTTTAATGGCTTTGAAAAAAAATGGTCGTAAGTCTGGTCAGCGAGGTCTTATGGGAACAGCATACAAATAGGGAGTCATTCCTGCCTGAGCCATTGATTTTACTGTTGGCTGGTTCTGCAGCACACAAGGGTGGTAACTGCTCCTGGCTCACCAGCTGTTTGGCCTACAGTCACGGGTCAGGTCACTCTCACTTTGTATGACTTTGGCAGGTTTTGGTAGTTTTTACAGCAGCGCAAAGACTTTGTAAACATTTCCCTATAGTCAGAGCCTTTCATCAACCTCAGGCTCCAGTCTCTGTCACCTCTTCTTGCCTCTCAGATATATATTTTAGGTAGTGTTTGTTTTTCCTGAAATAGGTTTCTGTCAATGACATTCAGCGTGTGCCTGAAGAAAAATGTAACCTAGTGAACAACGTCTCAGTGAGTGCGGATCTGTGGAAGCACAGTACCACTCTCCTCGGAGCCGGCCTTGAGCTGGTGTCTGCTGCAGGTTTGCACTGTGTCTCTCAGAGGGCCACGGATGGCACACAGCTCAGACCCCTGGCAGACACAAAGGAACAAATGGTCCTTCTGTGAAGAGAAGTCCGTTCCACAGCTCCAGAGCTTCCTGAGATACGTGTGCATTACGTGTATGGTTCTGGGGATCCTTGCTTGGGTCCTGAAAGCCCAGAACAACCTTGCTGTTCAGAGGACAATGCTGCTGCGCCATGTTCCTGAGCCTTAGAACGCTGAGCTGGGTCTTGGAGACGAGAGGGCATTCAGGTCTTTCCTGAGCTGGGTGCAAACTTGAGAGCACAGCAGCAGACCCCATGTTTATTCCTGTGGGTGAGTCACAGAGGGGTGTTGTGCACATGCACTAGAACACCGCATATCTCACTTCAAAACGCTGTCATGTTTTCATCACTTTGCAACTTTTATGCAAACAGGAAAGCCCCTGTATGGATTGTGTTGGCGGACAAGGGCTGAACTATTAGGTGTCAGGTGTGAGTACTAGATGTCAAATGTGGTCTAGTTGCTGAGGTCCAACGACGGCTCAGCAGTAAAATATGTCATTGCATGGGGCCGACCCAAAGGAGAAGGTTCCATGTTTGCGTCCCGAAACCCCCAGAGTACTACAGGAACACGAGTGCCTATGATTTGGAGTTGGCTAAGCTGGGGGTGGATCATGGAGCCAAGACCCTCTCTCTCTGTCTCTCTTACTCATGGAAGATATAAGGACATAAATGTTTCAAAAAATGTTCATTGATGTTGATAATGAAAATGCTATTTTGTTTCATGCTTATTAAATACCTATTGTGAATAGGTGCACTTATGCAAAACTGTTTTAATATGAATTTGAGAAGAAAGGGCGTATTATTCTAATTCAGCATAGGAGATAATAACTGAAGTATCGGGGCCAGCAGATGGCATAATGGTTATGTCACTGGACTCCCATGTAGTTGACTGCAGTTTGAGTCCTGGACCTGGTTGCTTAAAAAACTCAAGCCAGAGGAGACCAGCAGTTGACATAATGATTACGTTGTTGGACTCCCACGTAGTTGACTGCACTTTAAGTTCCAGATCCCGTGGCTTAAAACTCATGCTGGACCTATGTGCATGCGTGCCCCAAACCCCCAAGAGGTGAATAGAGTCGAGATTGCACATGGCCATTCCCCCTTGTTTTCTGTCTCTCTCTCTCTCTCAGTCTCTCTGTCTCTCCAACGAGCACACATGCCCTATAGCAAAAAACTCTCTTAAAATAAATAAATAAATAAATAAATAAATAAATAAATAACTGAGGTATCGATGAGATAAGATTATTAATAACCAAACCTAAAAGGTACATCAAGTGAAACACGGGAATAATTGTTCATTATTATATCGTTATCTTTGTCTAAATGGTGTTTATAACCTACACACACATATATTTTATGTGCTGCTCAGCAGATCTGTTTGCAGTGGTTTCTGTAACTAAGTAAATTGACCAAACCAATACCTGGCGAATAGAAGCACAATCTGAAACATAAATCACAAGTTAAGTGACATTTTTCATGTATTTCTACTTAAGCTGTGTCTCGCAGCATACATAACAAGACTTCAGTGTCTTTCCAACAACCATTTGTTAGCAAAAAGCAGGAAATTGAGGTTTTGTGTGTTCGTGCTGCCTTCTTTACGGCCACCGAGCATGGAAGTACTCAGGCCCGAGCATTATTTTCTAGATGATGTTCACGCCCGTGTTATATCTGAAATATACTTCGTTTCTATTTCCTAAATTACAGGATGAAGTCTGCCCCAAGGCGGAGGGAGAGGAAGCTCAGAGGTGTGTGTGGGCCTCAGCTGTTAACGTCAAAGACAAGTTCATATACGCTGCCCAGCCGACCTTGGACAGAGTCCTCGTCATTGATGTGCAGTCCCAAAAAGTCGTCCAGGTATGAAGGATCACTACTTTTGACGAGAATCTTTAAAAAATACCGATGGTAATGCAGTAGTCTTTCCTAATGCTGTGTACATTGTCATCGGACAGGCGTGTTTTATACTCGGAAAACTGGAAATGAGGCACTTTCTGGAAATGCTCCTTTCTTTCTGCTTCTGGAGCCTAATGAGCTAAGGAAGAGATTCAACTGTCAATTGTTTTCGAAAATTAGATTTGTGAGCTCGTTGTCACTTAGTACCACGAGTAGTTCCTCACAAATCGCTCCCATGGTTGCTCCTTCTGTCTCGAACAAGGAAAGGTCCAGACTGGGGACAGTAACGTACAGCAGTTACCATTACAGACTCTCAATTAAATGTAGCTTGTTCTGTGCTTAGCAAAAGCTGAGACAATACAAGCTTCCGTTAGAGAAGAGTAAGTTGGCCGGACTTACTAGGTATGAGGAACAGGAGGAACATGTGTACCGTCACTGGCAGAGTGCTCTAGCAGACACTGCTATGGTCGTCTTTCCCGTCTCTCGGACCATGGCTCTCATTTGAGCCTCCAGCTGTGTCAGCCTCACTCTCTCCAGGACTTTGCTACCTGCACAGCATACACACCTGATGGCAGCTCCACAATGACCAAGGGCCTTGCAGGATTCGAGTCTAGGAAGTCTGGTTCCAGAGTGCACTCTGCCCGTTTTAATCCGTTTCTTCTCAGCTTAGAGGACAGAACAGCTTCATGCTGGAGGCACATGCTGTTAACAGGAGCGAGGACAGTGCGTTGGCTGTACAGCTGTGCTAAGGGTTAGAACAACTAAGGCACAGAAAGCGTTCACAGAAAACCTTGGTGTATGGAAATACCGTAGACCTGTCTACTCGCAGAATTCCTGAGAGACAGCAGAACCAAAACACGCCTTACATTTAGACAATTTTTTGAGTTAATATTGGCATGAAATTGACCTGCTCTTCTTAATTTCCGACTAGAACTACAAAAAGGTAGTTCAATATAGCGCTATTCATTCTAAGAGTTAACAATTTTGCATTAATTTATCCTTTTTTTGTTTGTTTTTGTTTTTGCTTATCCACGTACCCATCCATCATCTATCCATCTATCCAAACATTCAGCTGTCTAGCCCGTATTTGTTCATCGATTGCCTAGTGTGAAGTACCACGTTAGTGTCACAAATGAGAGAGTCAAAACCGTCCCTATTTGGAAGTCCTGTTATGTCCAGGGTTACAAATTCATGTGTACGATTAGTCTACCATTCCAATGTCTACTGTGGAATGAACAGTAGAATCAATGATGAACTAACCACTCATCTCCTGGAAAATTCCAGGGCTTTCAGTGCTTTGCATTTATCTTGGATATCCGATATAATGGTCCCAAATCTATCGTGAGAACAAATTCTGCCTGCATATTTCACCTCTTTAGTTTCTGATTTTGAGACTAGTGAATTTTGACCGGTTGCTTAGTATTTTTATTTCAGCTTCTATACAAACCAACAGAAATTAAAGGCATTTAGTTTGGGTTTATAATGATTCTACCAGCAGCTTCAAATTAGAAGTCTATTTCAGGAATAGTCAGGCTGGTCTTTAAATTCAGGTTTCAAGATAAAGATCTGTACTTACTGAATAGGTATTATATCTATATTACTGAATATCTCTTATAGGTATTTCCTAATACATGTAGGCAATACCTGTAAGAGAGTCAAAAGTGGCTAGAGCTAACATCACCTGTTATTCATATAATTCCACCTTCAGACAATGATATCAAATTTAAAATTAATAAAAAATATCGATGATGAAAATGATGCTATGGTAATAATCATATAAACTCTATTATTTTCCTTTTTTAACTTCATTACTTCTCTAAGTGACCATTATTACTGTGAAATATTAGAATCTAAAAGGTTTTTATATATAATAGTATGGTATAGTAGTTAAAAATAAAATCATGTGGGAACCAGCAGTTAGTGTAATGGCTATGTCGCTGGACTCCCACGTAGTCGACCGCGGTTCGTGTCCCGGACCCGGTGGCTTAAAACTCACGCCGGGCGCGTGTGCATGCATGCCCAAGATCCTGAGAGGAGAATGGAGGAGAAGGGATTGCGGCGTGACCATCCCCCCTGGGGGGGGATTTCTCGCTTTCTGTCTCTATGTCTCTCTCTGTCTGCCTGGCGAGCGCACACGCCCTACAGTGAAAATCTCTCCAAAAAAAATAAAATAAAATAAAATAAAATCATGTTATGATGCAATCATAATATAGTGGAAATTGTTTTCAGTCAAGAATCTAACAGATATTTTTATAGATTAGAGAATTCGGACTCAGCCCAAATGGATTCTTTGTGACTTTGTGGTTAAAATAATAATGATAATTTATGTTACTCCTGCTAGATATTATCTACCCAAAGGAAACCGCTATGTAGGTTCATGAGCCTCTGTGTAACTGCCGTCTGATTTTGAACACACGTAATTGGGAATATATGATGTTCACTGTTTGATTCTGCCTCGCTGTGGTCTAGTTTATATGCACAAGGTCAATTTGTTTGAATGAGGCTGTTGCTAGCATTATTTTTTATTTTACAGTTGTGGAGAAACTGATTACAATTGATTCCCATTCTTTGTGGATTCTGTATTTATAAATTCAACTCCTACCTGAAGTTTACTTATGACCCCCAAATCAATTTGTGTGGCATTTGTGGTCGTCTATGGACAAGCAGGATTATCCCTGGGACACATGTTCCTAGCAAAGTTATCAAAGGATAGTCTGCCTCCCTGTTCCTGCTTTCACACTGCAAACCAGTACCCTCGCCCTGGTCAGTTTAGTCCTTGTTTATTGTCATTCCTGTGCTGTTTAAACAGCCCCGAGCGCAGTTCTGAAATACTGTCTGTGTTCCTACTGTGCCGAGGGCAAGCTTCACTTGGTGAGCCTCCTAGTGTCCTGGCTGGGAGCCAGTGTTCATTAGTTAACAGTATATATCAAGTAGCGTATCTTTACATAGAAACCCGTGTAAGATTGTGTACGCCACTTATGAGATGCGTATTGATTGGCTGGTTAGAGTATCATGAACTAGGGTGACCCGTGGCAGGTGGTGAAGGCCAATGGGTCCTGCAGAGCCAACTACACAGCTTAGTCCTGGATTTAGCAGCTTCAGAAATACGCCAGGCACATGTGTGTGCGTTCTCACAGTCCCAACAGGAGAGATGAGGAGAAGGGATTGCGGTGTGACCACTCCCCATTGGGGTTGCTTTCTCACTTTCCCTCTCTCTCTCTGTTCCTCTCTCACAAACACACACTCCTGGCAAAATTTTTAAAACTAGTATCATAAACAGAAATTCCTAGGAACCTAACTCTGTATTTCCCCTAGAAGCAATGCGTCAGTATTCAGTAATTCAGTCTTAGTGATGAGTTTATAGAATAAACACCATGAATGATAATAAATTATATGTGACTATGTCAGACTTTAATTTACTCATTCCGTTGCTAATGGATATTTGAAGTATATTGAAATTTGGAGTATTATGGATAATGCTGCTTGCCATATCTTCATATCCTTTATTTTGATGTGCGTAGTTACGGAATTCTGTTGATATATATGACTATATCGAGAAGTTTAAATATGGAAGCCAGCATTTTGTGTTTTCTGTAGATAAATAGCCAAGCTTTTCTAGATAAATATTTTACTAAATGACTATATTATTTTATCCTTCTAGAAATTCTATATGTATCAGTTGTGAATTTCTTTGGAAAGTTGCTGAAATTTTAACCACAATTTCACTTAATCTCTTGATTCAATCAGGGATCTGTGGCCTCTTTACAGTATTGAGCTTTTTTATATATTTCTAAATTGAGATTGTTTTATTTGTTACAATTTTATTTTCAAGTATTATCATAACCTTTCATTTATTTAATAAATTCTTGTAATTTAAAAAAGACAAAATACATCTACCAAAAATTAAAAGTTAATTATCAAAATTAAAATAAGTATGAATACATGAAATAATTGCTTAAGCAAAAGTAAAAGAAAACTAAATGAAAGAAGAGATAGGTCTGAATCTCCCATAATTCTGTGCAAAGAAGACTAGAGAAGAAAAGTATAAATGCAAAGTTAAGGTACAAAGGCAGGATGTTCTGTACAATCATAATCCCAAAAGCATTTTCTTGATTCTAAAACCAGACCAAGACATTACACAAAAGAAAAACTACAGATTAATGTCCCTCATGAACACTGATGTAAAAATCCTCAACCAAACATTAGAAAATCAGAATTCAGCAGCATAGCAACAGGATTATACACCATGACCAAGTAGGATTTATTCTTGGGTCACAATGATAATTCAGTATACAAAAAGCAATTAGTGTAATAAGCCACTTTACCAGAATGAAGGAAGAAACTGTGTGATCCATCTCAGTTGGTACAGAAAAAGCATTTGACAAAATTCAACACTCTTTTATGATTAAAAAAAAAACCCAACATTCAAGAAATAAAAAGAAGCTGCTTCAACATGTAAATGCCTCATATGAGAAACCCAGATGGAACATTATGCTCAAAAGTAAAAGACTGAGCTTGTCCTGGAATTAGAAACAAGACCAGGAGGTCTGTTTTGTTGCTTCTAAGCAGCACGGTACTAGAAGTTCTCACCAGAATGATGAGGCAAGAAAAACTGTAAAGAAAGAATAAGAGGATCTGTTTGCAGGTGGCATGACTTTATATGTGAAAACACTAAAAATCACACACACACACATACACACACACACACACAGAAGCTGTTATATGATCACTAATAAATGAATTCAGCAAAATACATTTAAAGAGACACACCAATCTGTTTTGTGCATTTCTATAAACTATCAGTGAACAATCTAAAAGGAAAATTACGTAAATAATTTTGTTTTTAATAGTATCAGAAAGAAAATAAGAATTAAGATAGCAGGTATTATAAGAGACTTGCACAAGATAAACCACAAAAGAAGTTTTTTTGTATTAATTTATTTTATTTATTTATTTTAATTTGACCAGAGAGGTACAGAATGAGAGAGAGAGAGATGGAAAGTGAGAAAGCAAGCCACCAGGTCCAGGACTTGAACCATGGTTGGCCATGTGGGAGTCCAGCACCCTTAGCCACCACGCCATGTGCCAGCCCCACCACAAAAGAAGTTTTGAAAGAAATGAAGGAAGGAGTTAGTAAGTTGGACCATAGTTTATGTTCATGGACAGGAAGACCTTATGATAACATGTCAGTACTTCCCAATGCTCTCTACAGATTCAGAACAATTCTTTCAAAACCTCAACAATGTTTTCTACCGAAATAGAAAAAGAATTCTAAAATTTATATAAAATCTCAAATGGTCCTAGATAGCCAAAACAACTTTAAAAATAAGGACAAAAATTGGGGGACTCTTATTTTCTTATTTCAAAACTTACTACAAACCTATTGTATGCAAAACAGTGTGATATTGGCATAAATGATACCAGAGACCAATAGAATAGACTAGAAAGTTTATAAACTCTCCTATTTATGGTCAGATAATTTTTTTTGAGAGGTTTTTGCTATAG